GCCGCGCCGTACGCGGCGGCGCCACCCCTGCAGGCGGCGGGGTGGCGGGCGCCCGATTACTCGGGTTACTTCGCCTGCGGCTGGCCGCATGCCGCGGCCTGGGCCGGGGCAGGGCAGGGGTGGGGCGGCTGGGATGGCGGCTACAATTGGGCCGGCGCGGCGCAGGCAGCGCCAGTGCAGGTGCCAGTGCAGGCGCCAGTGCAGGCAGCGGCGGCGCCGCAGCCCGCGCCGCAGCCCATGCAGCCTGGCCAAAACCTGATCGTCAGAAATGTGAGCACACAAGGCTCGGCACGCACGCGCAGCGGCGCCGCCCCGGCGCCGCGGCGGACGGCCTCCAGCGGCCGCCAGCTCCGACCAGCCGCCCGCCGCGTACGCCTCGCGCGCAGCCCTGCCCTCCGGCGCGCCGCGCCCCGCTCCGAGCCCCACAATTCTGTAGCGCTCGCATCAACCTCACCCCTCACCCCTCCCCGCACCTCCCTCAAACCCTGCAAATGGGCCGCCACACCCCCAGGTCCTGCAAAACGTCTCAAAGGAGGACCTGCGGGACTTCTTCTCGCCTTTCGGGGAGCTGGAGTTCGTAACAAACCACCCTGGGACCGACCTGGCCCACGTGAAGTTTGAGGACGGGCGGCACGCGGCCGAGGCCCTGGCCGCCATGCACGGCAAGGTGGGGCGCGCGCGCACGTGTGTGATCCGTGCGCGCGCGTGTGTGATGCGCGCGAGCGTGTGTGTGAGCGCGCGAGCGTGTGTGTGATGCCCCCGAGCGTGTGGTGCGTGCATGTGTGATCGATTTCTTCCCGACGAGCCTCATCGCCCCCCCTCCCCCACACGGAGAGGTGTTTGAAAGGGCGAGCAGGGGGGGGGGGGAGGCAGGTTACGCGACCATTGGCGCGCCTGTGGTGCGGCGGCGTCCGCCGCGGGGGCGGCGGGGTCCAGCAGAGGGGTGCCCCGCGGGCTTGGGCGGCAGGGGAGGGGGGCAAGAGCAGGCGAGGGGCAGGAGCTGAAGGGCGCTCATGGGTGCAACCGCCTCGGGCGGCGCCCTGCCACGGTGGCGGCGGCGGGCGCGCGAGGCGGTCTGGGGAGGGGGTTTCCGGCCGATCCGCCGTCCCGGAGGGCCTCCAGTGAACCTGTTCGGCGTGAAGTGCGTTTGAAGCAACGATTTTGTTTTGCGTGAATTCTACACCTGCCTGCTTTCAGTTCTTGAACGCGACTGCGCTGAACTCTCAGGGCCACCTGAAATGGCCCGGACCCGCCAAACTGCGTGCACGTGCGCGCAGGTGATACCTGAGCTCTCAGGTGAAAAACCTCTGCACATACTCCAGGGCGCGCCGGAGTGACGGCTCTGCGCAGTGCGGCGCGGCGCGGCTGGCGCCAGCAAAGAATCTGCAAGTTGCGTTGGGCCTCCGACACGAGCTTTCCCGCCCGGCGCTGCGAGCTTTAATAGCGGTGACCGCGGCGCTGATCAGGTGTCGCTGTATTATAGCCAGAGTGCAGTGACAGATCAGGTTGCGACGAGCGGCAGAGCGCCTCGCTGTCTCTCAGGCCCCTTGCGACCGCCGCAGCGGCAGTGGCGGCGGGGCAACGCGATGCGCGGCTGCGGTTGAAGAGAGGGGACCAGCCCCTGCCCTGGCAGGAACGCAGTAGGATGTCCTTGTCGGCTGCGACTAAGGGTTGTAGATTGTCGGTTGTGTGCAGACGATGCAGGTTTGCGTGGTTATGTGCATCAATGACTGATGATAATGCTGCCGCTTCCTGACTACATGGTGCGGTCGCCAGCAGGCCGCCACCTGCTGCCCCAATAAAGAGGGAGGTTGAGCGGCCAATGCCGGACACACACTGCTGTACACAAGGTGCCTCGTCCTCTAGGCAAGGCTTTGCATAGTGTAACTAACACATGGCGATTTGACTGACTGCCTGGCATCCTTGGCAGCGGTCAACCAAGCACACCGGATCAAGGGCAGCCCGGCCGCACAACAAGGGGCATCATGATCGCTGCTGCCGTCCGTGCCGCCGCGCCGCGCTCAGTCCTGCTTCTGGTGCGCCCACACTCGCGCCACCCTCGCCTCGGCCGCGCCCCGCAGCCGCCCCGCCCGCCGCGCGACGCCCGCCGCCGCCGCCTTCGCCGCCGCGGTCAGCGGTCCCGCGCCGCCGCGCCCGCCCGCGAGCCGAGCCTCTGCCTCGCGCTGCAGCCGCGCTATCCACTCCTTTGACTCCCCCGGCCCGCCGCGCGCGCGCTCTGCGGCCTCCAAATCCCGAAGCGCCCCCGCGTAGTCACCGGCGCCGGCCCTGGCTGCGGCTCGCCACGCGAGCGTCCAGCCGTCGCCGGGACGGAGGGCGTCGGAGCCGTCCAGGTCTGACAGTGCGGCCTGGTGGTCCCCAAGGAGCGAGCGCGCGCGGCCCCTGGTAGGAGTGTGGGTGTGGGGAGAGTGTGTGTGTGGATGAAAGTGTGTGTGCGTGCGTGTATGCGTGCGTGGCGTGCGTGTGCGTGTGCGTGTGCTTGCGCAACAGACTTGAGGTGGGCGATTTCAGCGCATGTATGACGCATTTGGGTGACTGTGGTTTACTAGAATCTACATATGAAATTGATTTGCGAAAATCAGATTACTCAGGAAATGACATCGCACGCATGAGCTGGCGCTTTGGCAGGGGTCCATGCCGCTGCATGCATGGCGCCCTAGAACAACGCGTGCTGCGCGGCATGCACCCCAGCGACGCGGCGCAGCGAGGGGAGCGGGGGACAATAAGACCATTGTCTGCCACGTCAGCGCAGCCCACCTGGCGGCGAGCAAGCCGGGGTCGCCGGGCTCGAGGGCGTCTGCTGCGATGAGGTCCTCTAGCGCTGACTCATAAAGCCCCAGACCCATCTTGGCGGCGCCGCGCCGCGCGAGCGCCCACGCGTCGTTCGGCTGCGCCGCGACAGCGGCGTCCAGGTCTGACAGGGCGGGGCCGAACTCGCCGATCAGGCAGCGGCCCTCGCCGCGGCGCGCGGCAGCGGCAGCGGCGGCGGCGGACGGGGTCGGGCGCGCCGGCGGCGCGGTGGCGGGGGCGCAGGGGCCCGCCGTGGGCTTGGCGATGGTGGGGTTGCCGATGGTGATGACGGCCCAGGACTCATGCTGAGCGTCGTTGGGGTCGTGGAGGCATGGATGGGGCGCCTCGGCGAACGGCTGCGGCAGGGGCGCCAGCGCGAGCTGCTGCATCGGGATGGGCGCATGCGGTGGCGCGTCGAGCCGGTCCATGTCGCCCGTAGACGGTTGTTCTCTTAATACAACGCGCTGGCTGAAATAGCCGCCGAGGCCCAAGCTTCGCAGGATCTCCATTTTTCCGGAAAGGCGCCAATCAGCCGAAGATCGTCTAACGGGCAATGCTGCACTGTTTAGACGACGCATATACTCTACATACACTACGAGGGCATGTTCAAGGTCGCTGACGGAGTGGATGCTCTCGACGCAGCTGCCGCACCATCCGCCTCGAGCGGCTCGGGCTCTGGCTGCGTCAGTACTCTCCTCGGGTGCCCATGCTTGTTGTGGGGTGCATGAGGGGCCTCCCACGCTGGCCTGCAGCCTTCATGCAGCCAATACGCGCATGTTTGCAACCTGCTGCGATGTCAGTGACGTTCCGCACCACATCCCAGGCCTAGAAGCCATGCGGTTGTGTTCTCAGCTTGACCATGTTTCTGTGGCTAAGCGTTTTCAGGCAGCTGCTGCGAATTGCTGAGCACCCCAATCTCATCCCAATGAAGGCGGCGGCTCCTTCCCAGGTTTACTCCGCAGGCAGCAGCGATGCAGGCGCCGCGCTCGGCAGGCGCGGGCGCGTCCGGAGCCCCCGTCAGGCGGGCGTGCCATGCAGAGCGGTCTGCCGAAAGGACATGCACAGTGTCGGGCCAGGGGGCGCGGCTAAGGATAGCAGCTGCGATCCCGGCAGGCCAAGGCCAGGGCTAAGGAATGCGGTGCCAGGCAGCGCAAAGCGAGCGGCGGCGCGGCGCGCGGATAAGTCGGGCACACGGAAAGCGAGGCTGCAGTGGAAACCGAGATGAGAGGCAGTGCACTAGAAACGTGCTGCAGTAGACCACGGGCCGACCGTCCCACCCTTTGAGGGCAGCTTGCAGGGGGTGAAGGCGCCCCCGGCACACCCACTGGGTGCAGGCGTCCGACGCGCGCCCGGCGGCGCGCGTGCGCGCGCGCGCATGTGCTCCCCCTGCCACGTGCGCCGCGGCCAGGGCAATCAGCAACCGCTACCCAAAACAGGGGCCAAGCACCGCCCCAGGGAGGCGGACCTACGTCCGCCCCAGATCGCGCCCGCCGCCAACAGACCAGACCAGATCAGATCGGATCAGATCTGATGGCATCAACCCATCTTGTTCTGTATCTGCCGGTGGATGTGGCACAGGAACTCCACATAGCTCATCCCGCTGGGGCTCCTGTCCTCAAGCAGAGAGTTGATGAAGGCGGCCTCCAAGGGATCCCCCTTGCGCACCACCCGCAGCCGCATGTACGCGCAGCGCTCGAGGCGCAGGCGGGTCAGCAGGTCGGACAGCAGGCGCGCAGCCGGCGCGTCGCGCGCGGGAGGGAGGGTGATGGGGCCGGCGGCGCGCTGGAGGTCCTCGGCGCTGGGGGCGCCAAAGAGCTCCTGTGAGGGGCGCGGGAGGAGGGGGGGAGGGGGTTTTGATTGAGTTTGTTTCTTTATGGTGCGTGTGTGTGTGCATGTGTTTGTGTGTGTGTGTGTGTGCATGTGTTTGTGTGTGTGTGTGTGTGTGTGCATGTGTTTGTGTGTGTGTGTGTGTGTGTGTGTGTGTGTGTGTGTGTGTGTGTGTGTGTGTGTGTG